GAGTTTAAACATAAATATAAAGGTATGTGTCAATCAAGATATATGTAAGAACAGGTTTAATGATTAATTAGGTGGAACATTGTGGGTGTGGTGTATGAATGTTAACACTTTGTAATAATTCTGTAATATATTACTTGTGTGGTGTAGAAGATAATTATCTATGAATGTAATTATGTAAGAATGTTAACACTCTGTTATAATTTTTTAGTATAATACTTGTGTGGTGTAGAACAAAATTATCTATGTAGAGATACTGCTTGCAAACCAATGATGGTAAGATGATGTCATGGGGTAGGACTGGATAAGTCTGACTTCTTCCTACTCCGTTCAAGCATGTACTAGGTATAAGCAAATTGATAATGGATTAGCATTTGTGGATATGTGTGAAATTATGTGTGTTGACATATCGACTATCTTTACATGCTTGAAAGAATAAAATCAATCAATCAATCAATCAATCAAAATCTCAAAGCAATTAACAGCAACAAACCAACCTGCTCTGCAAAGACGGATTCAAATGAACACCATTAAATAGGGATATCCTATCTCTGAACGCACTCGATCCAAACTGATTCACATGACAAACCGAACCAATCAGCTGATTCAGCTGACGTCCCAACTGCTTCGGACGTCACTCAAGTGATTCAAACGTCACTAGCCACGTGACCGAAACACGCCTCGGCACAGTGGTTCGAAACAATTGCTTTATGAGCTACCGCGCATGTGTCGGGGCCTCGGGTGTCAAAGGGCCATCACTAGCTAGAGGAGAGGTGAGTGTGTTTTTGAGCTCTCTTTGTTAGTTTTCCAAATGCAAGCAAATGTTGCCCCGACGGTTAAATTCATGTTCCTATCCATTGTTTAGTAACTGTTCAAAGATATGGAGTTTTTTTATGTTGTTGTTATTTACAAATTGAGTACAGCATGTAAATAGTCTTTATGTCAGGCTACTGGGCATCCGAGTGGCTTTTCACGTGGCCTGCCATTCTACGTTTTCTTTACAGTATGCACTGTGTATGTGGAGCCTGGCAAAGCGAGCTGCTGTATGTTTCATTTCCTTTTTGCACAGGTACGTAATACCCTGTTATAGTTGCTTTGCGTTACTTTCGTACTCTTGTAGCAGTGCATTCAGTTGTTCAGTATTTTGTGAATTTCATATTCGAATATAAATTGCCTTTAATGAGTGGGGCCTTGTTTGCAAAGGAGACTAATTTTGTTTTGATGTATGCATTGAATGTTTGGTTGAAGGTAATTATTGAATTAGTTATAAAATACAGTCAGTGGGCTAGATGCTGCGACGAGGAGAGGATGCACTGTGTATGTGGAGCCTGGCAAAGCGAGTTTCTGTATGTTTCATTTCCTTTTCAATTCCTTTCAAGTCGAAGACACAATGCAGAGTCCCAGAAAGTTTACTGGTGCTCTGACAGGCGGGCTACATGTAGACTAGTGGAAATATGAGGTATAAAGTAGCAAAAATGGAAATACTACAACTCATTCTACTAAACTCAAAATTCAGACCGACAGACAGTTATAAATAGGCTGGACAGACAGACAGAGAGATAGATGTGAAGCAGCAGTGCTTCCCTCTATCGACGGGTTTAAACCACGTGACCTGTGTTTACATCCTCTCGTTTGTTTCTCTCTTCTTCCACGTCTTCGACACAACGGCTCGTCCTCACTACTTTATCTTCCCAAACAACTAATTAGTTAGCTCCTTTAACTAGTATTCATCCTCCGAGAGAGGTAGGTAACGTCTCAAAGTGAATGTCATTGAGCGTCGCATTGCACAGTGCGTCCCAGAAGTGAGTTGTTGCGACACGGCATTGTGAGTATTTTTATTATTATTTTTCCCTTTAGCTAACTACCGTTTTTTGGACAGTTAGCCGGGTTGTATTGTCTGTTGCCTATCTGGGTAATAATTCCGTGAGTTTTATTTCATGTGACACAACAGGCTAGTTGTGTATATATAGTGTGTTTGCTAGTTGTGTTGGTAGGATAAAGAGTCCAGCTTACCTAACCTGCTTTGTCTCTGTTTTGATGATGGCGCACTCGGGCCCACTAAAGCTAACGGTAGCCTGTTTAACTGCAACTCAGATGCCGTTGACTGAGACTAGATGACAACTTAAAAGCATAATTCTCAATTTAAACCCATCACTTCCAATGATAGTGTGACCAACGTTTGTAAAATATACACGTTTTTGCGCACCTCGTCTTTCATTTTTATGTGTGCGGGCTCCACAGGCAAGGCGAGACTTTCTACCACAAATGTTGGCTAAGCGACAACGGGCGAAAGAGCCTTCCAAAATTAAATTTCATCTTTGTTTTTTGGTGGGATTTTTCTCCTGCAGTTACCTGAACGTGCGTGACGTGATACTTGAGCCTCTTCTTAACAAACCGGTTTAGCTAGTCTCTGCTAAAAGATTGAGGTTATTCGCACTGCAGAGAACTGGCCGAGTGGCCGTCAACTGGGAACAAAAGCTTGATGAACACACAAGCATATACACAGTCTCTTTCTGCGTTTGGCAGCATGTGTAACGAATGCTTAACTCGCCGGGTATTTCTCACATATGTGGACGGGTTATGATTAAGGAAAAGCCGAGATTAATAACGCTTGGAAACATTTCGTGAATACGTTGGTGTTGTTTTGCTTCACCGTCACACTCAGTGCGAAGAAAGTGTTCAGGTTTCTGATTGGCTGACAGAAAGCTGTCTGTGTGGCAACTGCAGCACGTGACCAGGTAGCGCGTTCATTGGCTTTATCAGGTGCCAGTCGTGGGAGTTTCGGAACATCTGTAAACAAGCAGAAAAATAAAAACACGCCGTGTGAAGTCAAGCACAGCATCCTTGCAAAAGATGCCACCTGGCTGTAGTCGTCTCTGACTGAAAGGTGTTCCTAATATTTTGGTAGTATTTAATCATATCTGAATCTTTTAAAACCCCTTATTGAATCTAATGAAGCTGAACTTTTGTCATTTGCAAGCAACTAAAATTCTAAATAAATACAACTCAAATATTCAGTTTAGATCTGTGATAACCTGCTGCTTGCTGTGAAGTCAGAAACACCTGTTTTTAGTGGTAGCGCCTTAACTAAACCAAGATTAATTTAATTATTTATTGACTGATTGAAATACTGACGTACACTGAAAATGGATGATGTGTAATCACTGTGCAAAAGTGAAGGCAAAATATTACGACTATCGGGGCAACCATTTTGCTTTTGTAACACATTTTGCTACCAGATTTTGCACAGTACTGACCATAGGTGGAGCCACAATATCAGCAGCTTTGAGAAAGCACATAAATCAACAGAATGAACTTTCAGTGGAGCTGTTACAAATATAACATTAATTAACTACAGCTGTTATAGTCTACCATCAGTGATATTGGTTAGTTTTACCAGTGAAAGCAATGGTTGTGTTGGGTAGAGAGGACGTAGACAAGATTTCTAAGAGATTTGTTAATGTCAGTGCTTATGAATCTGGGCATTTTGGTGACCAGAATTGTCATGCTGTTATCTGCTATGTTTTATTTACGTGATTGAAGCATCAACTATACATACACCTTAGAAAATAATGCAAAAAGTAACATAAGCACTTGCAACTAATGAGTATTGTCAGTGTCATTTAATTTGCTGATTATTTTTTCATTTGGTCTGTTAATTGGATAAAAATAATAAAAATGTTCTACCATAGCTTCCCAAGTCAGTGTCATCAAATTGCTTTTTTTTTCCAGTCGACAATTCTAAACTCAGTCATTCAGTTTACTATTACAAAAGACAAAGAAGAGCAGCAGATCCTTGAACCGAGGAGCCAAAAGCATTATTTTTGAACCATGTACATGATGACAAATCCTAATGACTAAGGCTGCAGCTAACAATTATCAAATCTATGCTAATCTATGGTAGCTTTCTCAAGTAATAGATTGTCTATAAAAAGACAACACTTGGAAAACAACAGAAAATACCTGTTAGAATTTACCAGGGCCCAATTGGGCATCTTCAGATGTCTTGTTTTGTCTTAGTAACAGCCTGAAATATAAATATATGATTAGTTCCCTATCAGTTATCAAAATGGTTGCCAAGTCATTTTCTTTAGATCAAATCATTGACTAATCCACTAGTAGTTCTAGCTCTACACAATGTTGACAGCAGTTAACAACACTTAAGGTCTATGGCAGTAGACATACCACATAATATTACAAAATAAATCAGCAGATTAATCACTAATGAAAATAATGCACAAGAGACAGGACTGGATAGATGAGATTGTTTTGTACCAGTGTGTGAGTGGGTACATACTGTAGATTTGGCTTTTTTAAACACACAATAACATGCAGGCTGTGCCAAACAACAAAGTCTTGGTGTGCTGCCTAGACAGGTCTTTGGTATTAGTTACAGCACCACAGCAAAGCTTGCATTGCCAGAGGCTTTCTTGCATGTTTCGTCATCTTGCATGGTTCAGTGAGATGTCCCTAACAGCAGCCAGACTTGACTTGCAATGGTATTGTGCATTTTCAGTACATACTAGGGTCAACCCAGGACATCATGCATGTGTTGATGAGTGGATTGCTGACAGAAGTGTTTTTTCAATTTAAGACTAACTTTACTATAGCAGCTAAACCTAGCTATTTTTTTCTTGATTTGTCTTAAAGGAGCAGGTGAACAATGACCTCTGTTTCAAGACTGGCATATCATAAGACCACACACCAGTGCCCAAAAGCAATTTGCTTGTAGAATACCTTGCCTGACCCATTTTCTTTTAGCTGTAGGCAGAGGACTATGCATTACAGAGAGGGCAGAGGGGGAAAACTAGGATAAAAAAATACACAGCTGAACAATCCGCAATAGTAAGCGAATCAGTGATTATTTTTGTCTGTGAAAAAGAGCCAATGGAAAATTACATTAGCAAGCCTCTCAGTACAAAGTCACCTCTGAAATGAGTCTTTATTAGCTGAGTCAGATGTAGAGATGCTGAGGAGGCAGAGAGGGAGTTCAAGACTTGTCTCCCAAGGCTGCATTCCCCTCTACACTATCCCTATTCAGTTTGGGATACCTTTGCTATTAAAGCATCTACACATAGCAGGACAGGAATGTCCTTTATATTGCTACAATGTGGTAGCAATATAAAGTGCAGAAAGTTTCCAGTATTTTCCAAGAAAAACGTATCAATCAGAGAATAGCCAGGAAATTGTAATTATTTTTATTTCCGATTCATACACTGACAAATCAGTTTGTATTTCAACATGAAAGATTCATCAGAGCATAATTGTAATGTGTTTAATGTACTGTGAGAATCCATCCATCCATCCATTTTCCTCCGCTTATCCGGGACCAGGTCGCGGGGGCAGCAGTCTAAGCAAAGATGCCCAGACTTCCCTCTCTCCAGACACTTCCTCCAGCCCCTCCGGGGGAATGCGGAAACGTTCCCAGGCCAGGCGAGAGACATAGTCCCTCCAGCGTGTCCTGGGTCTTCCCCGGGGCCTCCTCCCGGTGGGGCGTG